GGCCTTCAGACGTCCATCTTCCAAAGCTGAGCCCAGAACTACGGAGATGCCAGGCTTAAATAGGGAAATAGGAAACAGCTGGGATAAATAAGGCTGAGGAACACAATGAAAAAGGTAGGAGCACCCTCTGGAGGAGGGATGACGTTCGTGACACCTGCCTCACAGTGCTGGGGCCATGGGTTTTATTCCAGACCTTGGGTTCTACCTGTGTAAAGTTTGTATGATCTCCTTGTGTTCATGTGGTAGGTTAATTGGCTTCTGGGAAAATTGGCCCTGATGTGTGTGTGTGTTCCCTGCAATGGACTGGTGTCCCATCCAGGATGATTCCTGCCTTGCATTTCCAGCTTCACAGGATAGGCTCTGGGCCTCCATGACCTTGAATTGGATTAGTGGTAATTGAAAGAGATGTGATACGTAAGAGATACAGCTGAAGCCTGTTTACTTCTAATCTTTAACCTGTGAAGATTTATTCATCAGAGATACAGTAAAGCAGATAATTTGGTTTTCATCATCTTTTACTTCAGTGTCAGAAGAAGTTTATGTTTTGTTTTATTATTGAAGTTAAGTGTGTTTGTGTGCAGCTGAGCTCCTCCACAGGCTGTGTCTTTGCTTTCACCCTCAGCACCTGCAGTAGGTCCCAGCTGCAGCAGCGCAGTTGCTGTGCAGTCCTGCTGAGAGAGGTTTTTGTATGAGTGTGTAACACTGTGTGGACACCCATTTACTGTTTGGGTAGTGTTGACCCTGACAGTAATAATCTGCTGCATCTTCAGCCTGGACTCCTGTGATGGTCAGAGTGAAGTCAGTCCCTGATCCACTGCCACTGAAACGCTCTGGAATCCCAGTCTGACAGGTAGTTGCAAGATAGATAAGGAGTTTAGGAGCTTCTCCAGCTTTCTGTTGGTACCAGCTGAGGCAATCATTATTGTACACCGCAGGACTGGTCTTACAGCTCACAGTGACTGTCTGTCCTGGAGCAATAGATATTCTAGGAGTCTGGGTCACAGAAATCTGTCCACTGGATTCTGAAAATGAAAAAACATCAAAAAAAGTGGGAAAGTATTGAAAATACCAATTTATTCTGTAAATCACTAATACATTATATGATAGACATACAGTATGAAAACAGAATATATTAATAAGATATTTATTATGATAAATTTTTAATATTTTTTCTCTTTAAATTAACATAAATCTTGATTTTTTATTCACATAATATAGAAATATTTTAAATTCTATAAAATATCTAAACCCATTCCTACCCTGAACAGTGATGAGGAGTGTCCAGATAAATATGATGAAGAAAGTCATTGTTGCTGTGGGTTATGTTACCATGAAGTGCAGCTCTCAGTCTGGAAGTGTTAAACTCACAGGGCTATAAACAATCCCAGAGCACTGAAGCATGTGCTGCCAATGCAAAGTGTCTTCTATGCAAATTATCTTCCTGGGTTCAGCAGCACTTTTAGCCAGTCAGTGCTGGAAACACAGGCTTGGTGCTGTGTAATGTGACAGAGCAAGATGAGCAGTTTAGCATGAACACTCCCAGGACAGCAGGACTAGACAGAGAACAGCATTATAAGGAACAGAGGATGAGACACAATCAGCTGAGCCTTTATTCCACTCAGGACAGCATAGTGTGGACAGTCTGATTAAAGCAGCATTATCTCTGTGTCTTCATATACAGCAAACAAAGAAAATTCCTAACTTAACTTACTCTATGATCATATAAGCCATGCTATCTGTCACTGGGGTATATGTGCTTATTTCTTGCTAATAAGTCAGTCTGCATGCCTGCATCTTTGAATAATGGGACATTTGTTATTCCTTCTGGCTCCTCAAAGGCCAGAAGAACTGTGAACCTCTCTCTCAAGGAGAGATAAGAGTTGCACAGGAATAATTCTGGTGTAGATCTTCATTCTGAGTGATATTCCAACAGAACAGTAACAGTGACTCTGCTGTCACCAGTCAAGCCTGTGAAGCCTGTGTTAATGTTTCCAGCAACAGCTTCAGTTTCTCGCCACATCTTGAGATTTCATAGGCGAAAATACCCCGGGGACAGTCTGAGCTGAGTGCAGCCGCGCTGATTTGCCTAGTGTGGGGGAGAGTGGGCTGGTGGAGGGAGGTCACACTGCAGGGGTGTTGGACAGCTGCATCTGTTCAAGGGCAGGAAAGCAAGAGAGCAGGTTATGGATCTGGTCAGGCTTTTTTAAATAGAACATCAGTAACACTTTATATGAAAAATTACTACGGACTTATAAATATTAACTAGATACTTCAGCAGCTCGTTGCTTTAATCTTCTCTGTGAATAAGTTTTACTAATGTATTAGTGCTGAACACTTGAACTGCCCCTGTATAACTGTATTATTCTGAGTTATAAGTGTTTGATATATTTGATATATTGAATAGTGCACATTAACTATATTGCACCAATAATAATTGTGCAGCAGCAGCGATACTGTATCTGTCTATAACTGGCACCTATTCTGAAATTTGACCATTTGTTGTTCTCAGTCATAGGTAATTCATATTTTGTTAAGTATATGAGTGGGTGGCACAATTGTTAGCTGCCACACAGTACTGGGGCTCTGTGTTCAATTCCTGGGGTGCTGTCTGCATGGTTTAGATTTTCTCCCATGTTTGCGTGGGTTTCCAATGTTTCAGGGGAAATGGGTGCTCCTGTTTCCTACTACTGTCCAAAGATAAGCTGCTAGGTTAATTGGTTTCTGGTTGAATTTAAATGTACTTTGACAGTGTCCAACTGTATAATCCCCTGCAAGTGGCTCTTTACTCTTCTCCCCAGGGGGCTGGAAACATCCCTACAGTCCATTATGTGTGCAGAGCCTAATGCCCAGGGCTTCTTCACAGGGGGACAGGTGTCCTGATACACTGTTCTGTCGCATCCTGTTCTGTTCTCAACCAGCCCCTCTCAATCACAGGTCCAGTCAAACCTGTAAGCAACCCTCATGTTACCCATGAATGTGTGCTTATTTTCTGGTGTCTGTATTAAGGGGGTCTTTGATCAGGGTAAAAAATATGTAGGATAAGGCACGAAGCTACACCAACACAGAGGTGTTTCTGGCCCATCAGATTAACTTAACATCTATATAGCCCTCAACACCTGGTGCTGAAAAACCCTCCAGTTTGCTCTGTGACTAAAACATGAGTCTGTCTTTTTAAAAACAATCAATTCTTTGGAATTGTGGGGATTATAAGTTATATATAATATGCATGTTTTGTATTGTTTACTCACAATATTGCTTAATATAAGGAACCTTGCTGGAGAGCTCATAACAGGTGCAGTATCAAGTCTGTTTGTGTGTTTTGTTTTCATTGCAGTTTAACACGCAAATCCAGTCTCACAAAAATATGCTGCAGTAAAGTGCAGAAACACTCGATCAGCAGGTGTCTCCTTAGACAGGTCCGCTTGAATTACACTGCTTCTCAGATTATTAACCGGAAGTACGTTCAACTGTTATTTCAGCAGAGAGTCAGAAATAAAGTTAACCTGACTCTCATAATCTTGCACTAATAAAATGACTGGCAGACCAAGGTCAAACCCAAGCAGTGTCGTGGTTGGTGATAAGAAAGTAGAGCTCAAGCAGGGGCAGCGATAGTTCAGATATCCCCAGATATTCTCATGGACTGCAGAATTAATTTTAATCCAAAACTCGCAAAGAGTAGCCACAATCTTAACACTTTTCAAACACCTGAATACTATTTACACATAGGTACAATTTCAGATGTTTTAGAAGGGAACTTTCACTATAATTGGCATTTTATAGAAAACCTATTCAATTGGGGAGAAGCACCATTTGGAAAATATTGTTTCTGAGGTTTTGTGAGCAAGCCTGCATGTTTTATAGTTTTCAGAGACAGACCCTGTTCCTATAGAGAACATGTGAAATAGAGCTGTAAAAATGCCCTTTTATCTTTTGTCCTTTTGTTCTTGGGACTTGTTTCAGTGTTGAAGTGAGCTCTGCTCAAAACAAGTTTCATCTGTCCTGCTGGCTTGACAGTTTGAAAAAGTGTGTAGTTTGGTTTTGAAGATTAATCTGATTAGTGGTTGCTGGCAGATAAAATGTACACAGCATAAGCTCTCCCCAGAAAAAAATATATTTTTCATTCCTGGATGCTGGTGTTTATTATAATTCACATAATTTCTATATTGCTATTTATCATACACTAATTAAAAGGTTTACCCACACTGAGATTCACATGGACACATGAGCTGCTGATGAGCTCACATAAATGATCACATAATGTGAATCTCTGTGTTTGTACCTTGTGATGGACTTTTGTCCTGTCCAGGATGTATCTTGACAACATAGTCTCCAGCTCCCCTGCGATGTAAAGTACATGGATGGAATTGTGTGGAAAGCACACAAATCCTACAAGGGAATCTGTGCTGATTTATGTTAAAGCACTGAACAGACAAGGACTTAAGAGTGTGAGTGAGGAGAGTTACTGTAGGAGAGGAGTGTGAGTGAGCAGAGTTATTGTAGGAGAGGAGTGTGAGTGAGCAGAGTTACTGTAGGAGAGTAGTGTGAGTGAGCAGAGTTACTGGAGGAGAAATGTGTGAGTGAGCAGAGTTACTGGAGGAGAAGAGTCTGAGTGAGCAGAGGAACCGTAGGAGAGGCAGCAGTACTGAGCTGAGATTATGTGGAAGAGGTGTAGAGCTGATGTCACCAGGCAGTCTGGTATTCTGATACATCTGAAGATGGGCTTCTCCATTCTCTGACTATCAGGACAGAACGGCAACACAGACACACCAATACATGCAGCTACCCAGACTAGCAAGGTAACTTTGGAGAGTGAAAAGCACTGTTCTATTTCTGCATTCCAGGCCAGAGAGGAGTCACTCAAGTAACAGGAATTTAAAGACTTTGCAGGCCGAGTTTGCAAGACACTGTCAGACAATATGGTGTTGGCACTGCCCCCTTATGGATGAAGATGTGTGTAACATTAACAGTGCTGCATACAGTATGAAAAACTGATTTATAACTAAAGACAAAACAATATATTTATTGTTGGTGTATGTACAACTTATTTCTTTACTACCCATGAAAAAAGAGGAGAAAGACATTCCACAACACAGACACGCCTCACACTCCACAGACACATCATAGACACTTATAAACATCTATACAAAACCCCAATAAACACTCACATCCCACCGACTCTAGACTCTAGACAGAGTCTAACAATTTCTCTCACCCTGGTCTATATTTGCTCTAAGGATTCACAGAGCAGTTGCGCATGAAAATAGTTAAATTTCTGTCACTTCAGTGTGCCGTCAGGAATTTAGAAACAGCAAGATCATCTTTGCCCTGGGTCACCTGGATTTGAACATCCCAGCAGGCACAGCGCTCAGGCCTCAGGGTGGAGTGGGGACAGACCGGTGACTGATTTTTGATTGTACTGGAGTTTGTAAAAATTTAAATCTTAGAAAACCATTTTATTTTGGTGGAAACATTATTACTAATATGCCTGTTGTGTAATGTCTATCTTTGACTCTAACATGATAACTTACAAATTACGCATATCCAGATTGAGTATAAATATGGTCTAACAGTGATATCTATGTATAATTGTAAAATGTCTGGTTAAATTAAATCTTAGTATCGAGAAAAGTATTAACACATGAATTAAACTTTAGAGAGGTTCATAATGCAGCCATTGTGCAGACTCAGGTCTGTCCAAAAGCTTCAAGGCAGCGCCCTCTAGCGCAGACTGCAGATCAGTGTCAGTCTGTAGTTGAGAAAAAGCCATCAGACTGAACTGACATGTGACTTTCGATAGCACTAAGACTTCATTACAATCGAGATACGATTAAATTAGATACAGGCTTAGTGTAGTCAAACCATTTTGTCAAGGCAAAGTATCAACACTTGTCAGTGTATTAGTCTGAATTCTTCAAATTTACTGAGGCTGATCAAAACTATTTCTTTGGGAGATGAAGACTCTTGTCTGAACTAAATCCCAACAGGCCTGAGGGAAAAGACCTGTCGTCCTCAGTCACCTGACCAGATGGCATAAGATAGTCAGATTTTTTTTTTAAAGTAAGCAGATTGTTTTCTAAATGATCTATAAATTACTTAGCGCAATAATGACCTGTTTAATGATCACCTGATCAGAATGAAACTGAGGTCTTTAGAAACTGGTGACCGATAAAACCTGCTGGTTTTATAAAACATTATAAAACACTATAAAACATTAGGGGTCACACTGTCTCCTCTGCACCTGGATAGATGAGGTCACATTGCAAATAAAGACATGATAAATATTACAGTTTGTGCTTAACAACTGTAAATATCAAAACTGACAAAGTTCAGAGTAGGTGACCTAGAAATGTGTGCACTTTGGGTTTTTTAAGAGGATTCTGCTACTAAAGGCAACTTTTAGTGTCTTATCTAGGCATTTTCAGTAAAATTCAGTAAATTGAGTTCAGTAAATTGGTCAAAAACCCTTTCTATCACACTTCTAAGAAATGGCAACACAAGTTTAAAACACGGAATCCAAACAACAATGTGAGATTTAAAGTGTGTTTGTGTGCAGTTGAGCTCCTTTACAGGCTGTGTCCCGTGTCTTTGCTTTCACCCTCAGCACATGCAGTAGGTCAAAGCTGCAACAGTGCAGTTGCTGTGCAGTCCTGCTGAGGGAGGTTTTTGTACAGGTGTGTAACACTGTGTAAACACACCACCACTGTGAGCACTCTGACAGTAATATTCTGCTGCATCTTCAGCCAGGACTCCTGTGATGGTCAGAGTGAAGTCAGTCCCAGATCCACTTTCACTGAAACGCTCTGGAATCCCAGTCTGACAGGTAGTTGCAAGATAGATAAGGAGTTTAGGAGCTTCTCCAGCTTTCTGTTGGTATCTGGGATCCCAGCATGACGGGTAGTTGCTGCATAGATTAGGAGGTTAGGAGCTTTTCCAGCTTTCTGCTGGTACCAGTTGAGGTAGTTGTTATTATACACTGCAGGACTGGACTTACAGCTCACAGTGACTATCTGTCCTGGAGCAATATATTTCACTCCTGGAGTCTGAGTCACAGTAAGCTGTCCACTGGATTCTGAAAATGAAGAATCAAAACATGAGGTGAAAAAAATGAAATCTTCCTAACGTTTCGACTTTTAATATAAATATAAAGTTATTCCTACCCTGAGCCCAGATGAGGAGTGTCCAGATGAAGATGGTGATGAAAGTCATAGTTGCTGTGGATTCTGTTGCCATGAAGGGCAGGTCTCATTCATGAAATGTTAAACTCACAGGGCTATAAACACTCCCAGAGCACTGAAGCATGTGCTGCCAATGCAAAGTTTCTCTTCTATGCAAAATGTTTCCTGTGTTCAGCAGCACTTGTAGCCAGTTAGTGCTGGAAACTCAGGTTTAGTGCTGTGATGTGACAGAGCAAGATGTGCAGTTTAGCATGAACACTCCCAGGACAGCAGGACTAGACAGGGAGCAGCTTTATAAGGTGCAGAGGATGAGACACAATCAGCTGAGTCCAACTTGAATGAAGTGGATTGTGGAGAGTCTGGTTAAAGCAGTACTTGGCTTTGTGTGTTCGGATACTGCAGGATAAATAGTTGAACTAAAACCATATTTTACAGAGACTGAAGCATGCAAATGCACATATTAAAAACAGTCATGCAACCCACATTTTATATACGTTTACACTTTCACAGATCTGCTGATCAGCTATGTCCTTATTCCACTCAACATAGTTGGAATGGGGTGGAGTGCAGAGAATCTGGTTAAAACTACACTTGGCTCTGTTTGTTCAGATGCAGCACAATTACTAACTGCCTTACCTCACAGTGTTGAAGGAAAGACGTGTGTTTTATCTATGGGGCTGGAGAGACACTGAAAACTTATTTTAATGCTCATGGGAAGTGTGCTCCCTGTTTGCATGACAGTCTTCTGTTCTTCTAGATAACCGACAGTAGAAAGAGTCAGTCCTCTGCCTCAATTGTGTCTCTATTTTAACCTCAAACACTCAGACCCTCAGATCTAAAGTTTCCACCTCCCTCCTTCTCCTCTTCCTGTTTTCGCTTTGTCTCTCTATCCAGGATCCCCCTGGGGAGTTAGTGGAAACTCACTTCTCCAACATCAGGTTTCAGCGCCAACATGAACAGTTTAGCATGAACACTCCCAGGACGGCAGGACTAGACAGAGAACAGCTTTATAAGGAGCAGAGGATGAGACACAATCAGCCGAGCCCTAATTCCACTCAACACAGCTGGAATGGATTAGAGAGTGGAGAGACTGGTTTAATCTGCCTTGCTAAAATATAGCGGGATTACTAATATCCAGTGTGTTTTAAAGGTTAAACGCACTACAGGCATCAAAACAAAAATTGAGCCCAACTTTTTATTGAAGTAATTTTTTATAGCAGAGGTTGAAATGTAGAAATGCACAGTTACAATGTGTTATGTGCCCTGATAAATAATAATAATTTCTTACACTTATATAGCGCTTTTCTGGACACTCCACTCAAAGCGCTTTACAGGTAATGGGGACTCCCCTCCACCACCACCAATGGTATGATGATAAACCATCATATATTTAAGAATGATGTGTGCAATTATAATTTTGGCATCTCGGAAAATATAGCACTGCTTCAAAAGCGTGTCAGCCAATCAGATTTCAGGACAGGAACTATCCGTTTAATAATTAGAATTAAGGTACTATTAAAGATTTCTAATAATCTTTGCGTGCCTTGACCATATAGCCTGGTGCCTGCCTGTGTAAATACACAGGGATGTAGCTAAAGAGGCCTCTCTTTGCAATCTCAGCCACAGAATGTCTTGTTGGTCTTCACATGTGGGAAAGTAAGAGAGGTGAGTTTGTCTCCTGGATAACAATCCTTTCTACAACAGAGGCGATCTCAACTCCCATGATGGATGTACACTGCTAGTGCCTGGATGTCTAGTTGAGAGCCATAGGTACATCTGGATCTGATCTTAAAAGTCACAGGACATGTTCAATCGCCCAAAGGAAGATCCACCAATGAGTGACCTGTAAGGTGGGCACCAGCGGTATACCTGATGGCATCTCAGACAATCACCAACTTGTGATGCGATACTACAAAACTGAAACTCAAGTCATTTTCCGCTGGTTAACTCACTGACTCAATCTCTTCAACTGAACTGCAAACTGAATTTTCAACCATGGGACTGCGAGCAGTCCGAGTCAGGTCTTAAACTTTTCTCAGAGAAGCCAGGCTGAGAGAGTGTCAGTAAAATGCAGAATTCCAAGATATTCTTCCTGAAACAGAAGAAATCTTCTGTTTGTAAACCCAATGTCATCTTCAACAATCAACAAAATTAGACTGCTAGACTCTTTTTGTCGACATCCAGAATATCCAAGCACACTCTGAACAAAAACTATAGCACGAAATAACCTAAGTTCCCCTTTTGCCTACCTTGCAGACCCCTAGAGGAAAAACTGTGCACAAACTGCTTTTTAAGACCAAAGTAAAATTTCATTATTCACATCATAATTCTCAAGAGGTGTGCTATTATTCCAAACACACATTTGATGTTTAGTTCATGATAGTTAATGCACATTTACTTGTATCTGAGAATATGAATATGATTTAGTTTTACGAGACTGATATAACCTACGAGCTAGACTGTAACACATTATAATCGCTGCATATTTTAACGATCACAGCAGATCGTTTCTCAGATGTATTTTGTTATGCTTGTTGTTTGTTATGCATGTATTCATCATATCAATAAACTGTATGTTGTTTATTCGTAATTCCTGCATGAGACTGTAAATTATTATGTTTGATTGGTTTCTAAAAGTCGTCAAATAGTCACGAGAGCCGGTCCTGACTCCCGAGTAGTGCGTATTTTGGACCCTATGCAGACGCTATAATCCTGAAGTGACTGGAATAAGACTTCAAGGGAAACACAGCAGGCGCAGGATGGGATGACAGACAGGGGGGCGTGACGGCTGAGATCTGGTGCTCAGGGGGCGTGTCGCATGCGAACAAGTCCTAAGGTAGTCCAAAGGGGAAACCGAGGCGCAGTCCAGGGTCCAGGAGCCGGGAGATCCAATCCGAGACAGACAAGATTAAAACCGGAACGGGATCTGGAACAGGAATAGTAACAGGGAACCAGGAGGATAAAAACAGTAATGAGGCCAGGCGCTCCGAGCCCTGGACTCAGCAGGTCAGGATGCCGTGATGAAGCCTATGCTGTCGGGTCTCTCCAGGATCCGCTGGTACGCGGACTTCCGTGCATCCATCTTCCAATGCAGAGCGGGGAATAGTGGGAGCGCCAGGCTTTAAATAATAACAAGGAAAACATGGGACAGGTGCACATAATGAACTAAAATAGGAAAGGGTCGGAGCGCCCTTTAGAGGAGGGATGACAATCATGACACAAATCCTCTCACAATTTGCTGTTACAATTTTTAATTGTAACAGCAAATGAAAACCCCCTTCTCCACCACGGTGTATCCCACCATGTGCCCAGTGCTTGCCAGGATAGGCTCTGGGCCGCAGAAGCCCTGAATTGGACAAGCGAATATTGAAAGAGTTGTGATGTGAAAAAGGTACAACAAAGGCCTGTTTATTTCTATTCTTTAACCTGTCACGATATATTGGTTTGGTTATTATCAGTTTTTACTTTATGTCCTGTGTCATTACTTTCAGCCTCAGCTTCAGGTCTCAGCTGACCTGCTGAGGGAGTTATTTCTATGTGTGTAACATTGGGGGGAGAGACAGCTACTTTTGAGCTCATGATAACTCTGACAGTAACAATCTGTTGCATCTTCAGCCTGGACTCCTGTGATGGTCAGAGTGAAGTCAGCCCCAGATCCACTAATCCTAAAATGCCCTGGGATCCCAGCCTGTAGGGTAGTTGCTCCATAGATCAGGAGTTTAGGAGCTTCTCCAGCTTTCTGATGATACCAGGCTAGTCCATGCTTAGAGTCATTAAGTTACACTGCAGGATTGGTTTTACAGCTCACAGTGACTATCTGTCAGAGTCACCTGTTCACCGGATTATGAAATTAAAAAATCAAACAGCGTTTGGTAAAATATTTTAAACACTTCATTACATAATTTAAACTTTCAGCGTTGTTTTACACTAAATAATTTATTGTTATCACTTTAACTATAATGATTATAGCACAAATGCTTCATTTGTGAACTGAGATAGATGAGTCAAACATCCTCTTGTAGTTTGTAACATGTTTTAATGTTCTTGTGACTGTATCTACAGTAGACTAGAGAAGGAGCTGTTGTTATTTAACACTATACAGGCACTTATCTAGTTATCTAGTTACTTGCATTTACATATTAGGAGACACAGTAGTGATACCTTCTGATGCAGTTCTAGAGTCAGGGGCAGGAGCTAAGATTTCTCTGTCTCTGTCTGCAAGTCATGTAATTGAAAGACACTGCAGACCACTGGTTTACCTTTAGATGATGATTGTTTCTGAATGCATACAGTAATCCTGTTGTATCTGAACACCCAGAGACAAGTGCTGTTTTAACCAGACTCTCCACAATTCACTCCATTCCAGCTGTGCTGATTGGAATAAGGGCTCAGCTGATTGTGTCTCATCCTCTGCTCCTTAAATAGATGCTTTCTGTCCTGCTATCCTGGGAGTGTTGATGCTAAAATGCTCCTCTTGCTCTGTCACAGCACACAGCACCAAGCCTGTGTTTCCAGCTCTGACCGGCTACAAGTGCTGCTAAAGCCAGAAAGACAATCTGCATAGAAAAGACACTTTGCATTGGCAGCACATGCTCTGGGAGTGTTTATAGCCCTGTGAGTTTAACACTTCATGACCAAGAGCTGCCCTTCAGGGAAACAGAACCCACAGCAACAATGACCTTCATCACCATCTTCGTCTGGACACTCCTCATCTCTTCTCAAGATAGGAATGGGTCTGAAATACTTGATGAACGTAGTTTACAACTATAGGTAAAAATGAAATGTTTTGTATAAAACAGGAAGTCAATGAAAAAAATATTATGATCTTTAATATTTGAATTTAATTATGTTCTCTTTGTCATTTGCAGAATCCAGTGGACAGGTAACTGTGACTCAGACTCCAGCAGTAAAATCTGTTCTCCCTGGACAGACAGTCACTGTGAACTGTAAGACCAGTGCAGCACTATACAATAACAGATTACTAGCCTGGTACCAAAAGAAAGCTGGAGAAACTCATAAATTCCTGATCTATGCAGCAACTATCTGTCAGACTGGGATCCAAGAGCGTTTCAGTGGCAGTGGATCTGGGACTGACTTCACTCTGACCATCACAGGAGTCCAGGCTGAAGATGCAGCAGATTTTTACTGTCAGAGTTTCCACTACCCCAGCACTAACCGTGTGTTCACAAAGTGTTACACACCCGTACAAAAACCTCCCTCAGCAGGACTGCAAAGCCACTGCACTGCTGCAGATGGGACCTCCTGCAGGTGCTGAGGGTGAAGACAAAGACACAGCCTGTGGGGGAGCTAAATTGTGAAGAGACACAATGAGCTTCATGTGTATTATTAAAAGATTACTATTTTATTTTACTTTATTAAAGTGAATAATGTTAATACAAACATGAAGTTAAATTTCAATAATAAACTGCAAAAAAAATCAAAAACTAAAATACACCCACTGCATAAGTATTCTCCCACAAAGTCTAAATTTGGTTGAAGCAACATGAAAAGCAATTACTGTACATCTGTGACTCTTTTAGGATACGTTTTTGCCAACTGTGCACTTCATGGTGCAATTTTTGTCTGTTCTTCTTTATATGTTCTTCTTTACAAATATACCCAAGCTCTGATCAACAGCAATTTTTAATTCTAGTCCTCTGACTTGGTTACTCATTGACATTTTCTTTCTTATTCTCGAATCACTCCAATGCTGATTTAGCCTGATGAATTGGGTTATTGTCCTTTTTAAAGTTGAATTTTCATCTCAGAAATGAGAACTTTAGCAGAGTGAAGCAGGTTTTACTCTGACATCTGCTACTTTGCTCCATTAATTGCCCCCTCACTCTTGACAAATGGAGTCTATTTAACGGACGTTCGGGAGGGAAGACAACAACCATGCTCAATCATTCCTAGCCGTCGGTAATTAGCAATCCCTCCCTTCATCCTTCCTCCGCCGAATGCTATAAATATCAAATGCGATTTCCCTCTCCCTCGCGTGCGACTTTTGCATCCGACCTCCACCCCAACTCCACCTCTGCAGCTACTCCTTGGTTACCTTGCGTGGGGTCCAGGCCTCCTCGTCCTATGGCCAGGACGTCGGTTCTCAGCCAAGTGGGTTAAGCCAAATATCCGCTCCACAATAGTTAATTACGCTTTGATCTTGGGCGTTGTCATTCCTAGTGAAGTCTCCCTGTTCCTGCTGAGGAGAAGCAGAACTATAACCTGAAGCTGCTCCACAATGCTTGGCAGTAGGGCTGCTGCTGACTGAGTGATGGACTCTTTTGGGGTTGTGCCAGGTGTAACACTTTCTATTTAGACCAAAAATTCCAGTTTAGTCTCATGAATGTTTTGCAGTAACACTGTGCTGAATTTTATTTCAGTAATGGCTTCAATATTTCATTAATGGTATCCTTCTTGTTTCTGACATTAAAGCCAACACACTTGAGTGATATTGTTGACTCAAAGGCAGCCAGCAGCTATATCACCCTGCAACTCACAATTGGCAACTTGTTGGTGCTAAGTAAGTGTCAGCCTGGCCAGTACCTGGATTGGAGCCCTCCTGGTAAAGTTAAGGTTGCTGCTGGAAGAGGTTATAGTTAGACCAGTAGGTCATAATGACCCAGTACAGTAATTGGAACACCATACTATAAAGAAGGCACAGTGTGCCATTGAACTATGTAGTTTTTTCATAGCTGTTGTAGGCCTCTGGCTGCTCAGTTTGGAGGGACAGTCTGATCTAGGCAGAGTCTGGGTGGGACAAAAACCTTTAGAGAGCTTCACCTGATAACATTCAACACCTCCTGCATGTCATATATGGGTCTACAGTCTCCCTCTCTACTGATCTTCGGCTAAATGGAAGATCTTGAAATCTTGAAATTTAAGATGGCAACATGCATGGATGCAGCAGGTGATCCGGATCTGGAAAAAACAGTGCTAAATGTTGTTCTACTGTAAAATTTTGTCTCTTGTCCTAATTTTTCAAATGTCTATGGTCATCTGACCCTGCTGGAAATTGGAAAAAATGCAAGGATTATCTGCCGAGTATTCTGACGGAGAAGCTATGTAGCCTATGTGGCTTACTGAGAGCGTCAGGTCCCGGGACAGCGGCTCAACCTGTTGCAGTTGTCCGAGAGAGGAGGTGCCAGAAACAGTGTGAAAGGAAACAGAAACGAGGCAAGAGGGCTGGAATGTAAGCTAATCCTAGCAGACAGGCTCTCCTGTCAATTTTACTTTCCAATGTACGTTCTCTGGAAAACAAACTGGATTACTTTAGATTACAACTGGCTACTCAGCAAGAGATGGAGGAGTGCTGCATCTTTATTTTTACTGAAACATGGCTAAATGACCTTATTTTGGATATGCCCATTCAGCTAGATGGACTCTTTTCCTTCCATGCGGACAGGAAAGTTTCAGTGATCGGTAAGTCTCTCGGAGGCGGTTTGTGTGTTTATATAAATAAAAAATGGTGCAAAAATGCTGCAGTAGTCTCCAGTCACTGCTCCCCATCAGCGGAATTAATAAGTCACGTGTCAACCCTTCTGTTAACCAAGGGAATTTACTACTGTTCTATTTGTGGCTGTGTACATCCCACCCAGCGCTGACTCTAAAGAGGCGCTGCGAGTCCTTTACGGGGCCATCAGCGATCTGCAAACTGCTCACTAGATGGCTTTGTCGTTGTTGCCGTTGACTTCAATCATGCCGATCTTAAGACAGTTCTTCCTAAATTTTATCAATATGTTAATTTTACAACCAGAGGGGAGAACATTATGGAATTAGTTTACACAAATATCCATGATGCATACAAGGCTCCTTGATGCATACAAGGAGTAGCCCCCATCTGAGCTACTCTGACCATATCTCTGTTATGCTTATTCCAGCATACAGACAGCTGTTCAAATGTGCCAAACCAGTTCTGAAACAAATCAGAGTATGGCCAGAGGGAGCCATCTCAGCATTACAGGACTGATTTGAGCACACAAACTGGAATATGTTCAGGGAGGCTGCTACCTATGATCATCTCATTAATTTAGAGGAGTATGCAGCATCTGTGACTGGCTACATCAGTAAGTGTATAGATGATGTCACTGTCTCTAAATCTATCATCACAAGGGCCAACCAAAAGCCATGGCTGACTGCAGAGGTCCGTGCACTGCTAAGAACCCGCAATGCCGCATTTAGATCAGGCGATAAGGCAGTCCTCAGGACTGCGAGGGCCAACCTGTCTCATGCCATCAAGGAGGCAAAATGAACCTATGCACGGAAAATCCATGGCCACTTCCTGGACACTAGAGACATACGGTGTATGTGGTAGGGCATCCAGGCCGTTACTGATTACAGGACTACTCCACATGCCAGTGACAGTGATGGCTCCCTTCAAGATGTGCTGAATAACTTCTATGCATGGTTCGAAGAACTGAATGTTGTGCCTGCGAGGAAAACTACACTTCCTCCCAATGATCAGGTGCTTTGCTTGTCCACAGCTGATGTGAAGAGGACACTAGCCAAAGCTAATCCACATAAGGCTGCTGGACCTGATAATATTCCTTGAGCATGCAACTAGGTATGTGCAGAACAGCAGAACAGCTAGCTGACGTCCTCACAAATATTTTTAATATCTCCTTGTGCCAGGCAGTCATCTCCATATGCTTCATATCCACCAATATTATATTGACTTCAACTCAGCATTCAATACAACCATCCCCGAGAAGCTGATAGGAAAATTGAGGTTGCCGAATCTCAATGCCTCCCTCTGTAACTGGATTCTGGACTTTCTGACCGAGAGACTTCAGACAGTCCGGATCGGTAATAACATCTCCAGCGCCATCACAATGAGCACCGGAACCCCCCAGGGCTGTGTGCTCATCACACTACTATTCACACTGATGACTCATGACTGTGCTGCCAAGCACAGATCAAACTGCATCATCAAGTTTGCTGATGACCGACATAAAGAGAGGAGGTGGAGCAACTAGTGGACTGGTGCACAAACAACATCCTGTCTCTTAATGTAGATACAACGAAAGAGATAATCATTGATTTCAGGAGGGCCCGCGCTGATCACTCCCCACTACCCATCAACGGCTCCCCTGTGGAGATAGTTAGAAGCACCAAGTTTCTTGGTGTACACATTACAGATGACTTCACCTATTCCCTCAATACCACCTCCCTAACCAAGAAAGCACAGCAGCTGTCAAAAACGCTGCTTACACAGGGTCTCCAGTATAGTAGATGACCCCTCCCATAAACTATTTGCCCTCCTACCATCTGGAAAAAGATATCGCAGTATATGGGCTAGCTCAACCAGACTCTGTAACAGCTTTTTCCCGCAGGCTGTCGGGCTCCTCAACACCCTGGAATGTACTTGCACCCACTCCAATTCCAGAAACAGGGTTTAAATTCCCCCAGTGTTTAGTGTATATTGTATGATGTATTCCTTGTACTATTCTGTAATAGTTAAATTGCACTATGTGTATATCCTTTGTAGACTGCCTTAGTAATTTGCACTATGTGTATCCTGTCTTCAATGTCTATGTCAGTGTCCTGCCTGTATTTGCACCGTGGAACAGGAGAAACAATATTTCGTTCCACTGTATACTTGTATATGGCTGGAATGACAAATACATGTGAACTTGAACTTAAATTAAATGTTAAGAATGATCTTGATCAGCTCAAGTGGGAACATCTATGATTTGTCTAGATAATATTGGTCTTAGTTAAGGATTCAGCAATGTGGTTAAAGTGTTAGATGCCAACTGTTCATCAGTGGAGCTGACAGGCAGTCAGAGTTCTTCCCAGTGTGTCTCTCTAGGAGCCCACTGTCACCTCTGTTGTTTGCCTTCTCTTTGGTACCACTGGCTCAAGTGGTCTTTCAATCTACAACCTGTACCCTGTTTCTGCTGACACTGCTCATCTCTGTGCATCACCACACACTGATGATGTACCACTACACATAGAGACTGTCTCCCAATTTCTACCTCTTCTACCAGCTATTATTTATTTAGATTATTTCCTTGCTCTGTCAGGGTGTGAATTGATCCAGGTCTGTATTACTGCCATTTAACTCTGTAGTAGTGAAAGCTGACTGTCCTCTGACTGTGTCAGACGATTTGCCTTAACTAAATTATTCTGGAAGAAATGGACCTGCAGCCAGGAAATGAAGGACTGAGTGCAGAAACACAATAGAAATGTCTAATTAATCATGCAGTTTTGAGGGATGAATTCAACTCAATTATTAAGAGTTACGTTGACAGGAAACCCTGCCAATGCAGATAGTCCTGCTTTGTCACTGTAGCTCAGTGCTTGTGTACAGCTGAGATCCTCCACAGTCTGTGTGCTGTATGTTTGCCTTCACCTTCAGCACCTGCAGTAGGACCCAGCTGCAACAGTTAAGCCTTTGTCCTGCTGAGAGCTCACTGTGTGAGGATATTGTGTGGGTGAATAAGACTGTGTGAACACAGGCACCACTGAGATTGTGCTCACTCTGACAATAATAATCTGCTGCATCTTCAGCCTGGACTCCTGTGATGGTCAGGGTGAAGTCAGTCCCAGATCCACTGCCACTGAAACGCTCTGGGATCCCAGTTTGACGAGTAGTTGCTGCATAAATTAGAGTTTGGGAGCTTCTCCAGCTTTCTGTTGGAACCAGGCTCATACATGCTTAGAATTATATATGTTCACTGCAGGACTGATCTTACAGTTCATAGTGACTGTCTGTCCTGGAGCAGTAGATTTCACTGGAATCTGAATCACAGTAACCTGTCCTCCAGCTTCTGAAATGTGTAAATAAGACAGAGTGTCACAGATGTCGGAAGGGACGAACCGTAGAATGGCAGGAGAGCGAATAGACCCTATGCGTAGCTGCGGGATGGAGGTTAGCCCGGGCTCAGCTGTTCAGGGTATGCCGTGTAGAAACCTATGCCCCCAGGTAGTGGACGTGGGGAGACCTGGTGCTAGGCGGGTTTCAGGACATCCAAATGTCAATGCTGAGCAAAGGCAGAATGAAAGACCCGGAAATATATAGTCCCAGAGAGAGAGAAACACCGGAAGGACAGCAGAGAACCGGAAATGAGAGACAGGACAGAGAAGGAGTGCCCTCTGGCTGCAGAGGGCGTGGCACAGAGCATACGGTAAATAGTTACAATTGTAAAAACATGTCAGGAAATATAATATTATGTCTTTTTGTTGTATGATTTCCTTCTTTGAACAAAACATCTTTTGACCTATAAACATCAAAGAATTATTATTACACGTAGTAATTTATTCTATTAAATTAAATAGCATGTTCATTAAATATTTCAAATCAAATGCATTCCTACCCTCAGTAGAAATGAAGAGTGCCCAGATAAAGATGGTGATTAAAGTCATTGTTGCTGTGGGTTCTGTTGCCATGAAGGACAGTTCTCAGTCATGAAGTGTTAAACTCAGAGGGCTATAAACACTACCAGAGCACTGAAGCATGTGCCACCAATGCAAAGTGCCTTTTCTATGCAAATAATTCTGGTGCAGCTCTTCTTTCTGAGTGATAATCCAACAGAACAGTAACAGAGACTGTTATCACCAGTCAAGCCTGTAAAGTCTGTGTTAACGTTTTCAAACAGCAAGTTTTCAAAGAAATTGAAACAGTGAACTAATGTTATATAAAGTCATATAGAATGGTGTAAATACCTTTAATAACCTGTATATAAAAGGAAATTGTCTTTTGTTTCTTTAGAAAAAAAAATCATCTGGACATTGGAAATAATAAATAAAACAAACCTTTCACTGGGAGTCAGAAGCACAAGAATAACTAGAAGCAAACAGAAAATGTCTGGAGAGAAGCTCAGAGTTTGTCAGTCTGCCATATTGAGAAAAACTGTCCCATACTGGAAAACTTCTTAATTTTGACAGACTCAAAATTCCAGCATTTATTCAGAATGTTTTTTTAGAAAATAAGTAATCTGTGTCTCTGCATTTCAGACTTTGTGCCTTTAAACTCACCTTACTCATTTATCCTTTGTGTGAATGATTTCATCTGGTAAGAGTTAAATATACATTTATAAGCATGTTAAAAACCAGACATCAGTGTATCTCTTCAGGAGCAGAGTGTCAGATCTCAGCTTTAGACTGTCCAGCGCCTCTCTAACTGAAAGACACAGTCCCACTGGGAAGTCAGTTTGGTTTTGAAAGTGTAAAATAATCTAAGCTCACTTTTGCTGGGGGACTGCTGAGTGAGCTGGCATTTGTCATGGTAACTCACCTGTCACTCAGTGTCAGTTAGGATTTATGATAGGAAACCTGTATTACCTGCAGGCAATTTACATCCACACCTGGTGGTGCAGAATAATTAAGGTCTGCTGAGACAATACATGGTGCTCTGGTGTAGAGTTTGGCTCTGTGATTGAGTCTGCTCAGAGCAACCCTGTATTCCTCATCTCGAGTTCCTTACTTTCCTAGTTCTCTAATACCTTGTGCTGTGTCTTGGATGTTTGACTCTTACTTTGCTCTGAGCACATCACACCTGGATTTCCCTTTTGTGCTAACAACCTGTGTATTACTCATGCTTGACCTTTGCCTGCTTGTCTTAACTGTGATTCTGGATTGGCCATTTTCCCCTTAGTACCTTCACTGTGTCTCAATGGCATCGGGCAACACTTGCTTCTGACCCCAGATCTGGACTGTCTGCCTGCACCAGTCTCTGCTGGTGTCCCCAGGCTGTGCTGCACCACACGTGCCTGCATGCTCACCACAACTTGGCCCTGTCTGTCTGTGCTGTCCACAGTCTTCTGTTCTTGTCTCTCTTTCACCCAGACCATGGGTTCATTTTCTGTTTTACAACCACTTCTTAATTCCAAGCTAAGCATTGGAAATAACATTATCAAAGAACAGTAAACAAGAGGAAGCCATTTGGTCCATCTTGCTCATGTGACTTTTCAAACGAGTGAATCTCAAATTGTATCTAGAAGCTTCTTGAAGGAGAGACCAGACCTTGGACCTGAACCACCTGGGTGGAGCATTTTATTTTCTGAATGTGATCTTCCATCCTCAATGAGCTACAGGGTCTGAAGTGTCCATTGAGCTGCCCCTGTCAGGATTGAGATTGTTCAAACCTTCTTTAAGTCTGTCTTGTTCTAGACTGAAGAGATTAAGCTCCTTTAACCTGTCTCTATAGAAACCGACTGACTGATGGTTTATCCATAGAGACCAAGGACCATTCTTATTCTTCCAGCTCTTTCTAAGGATAAAATCACTTTGAGGTGCACTGAGTAAAACAGAGGGCTGTTCTGCATTAGGTATTACTAGTGCATTGAAGATCTACTCTGGGTTTAAATTCCACTCTTTGTGCCAAATACAAAAGCTGTCGGTCAGTGTTTTACCCGAGACTGTCCTGATGACCCTGAAGAATCAGCATAAACACCCAGATGTCCTTCCTGCAGCTCTGAATCCCCAAGAGACAGGATTACAGGTTTTCTATGAGCAGTCGGAGCTGCATCCTTACCACTGCCATGATCACAGAATCTTATCCCTGCTGCAAAGGGGACTTTTACACTTCTAAAAATGGGGAAAAGATGACAGTAAATGACAAAAGATAATTCATCCTTATGTTCCACCTTTAACAACCTGCTGGTTTCCTACTACGTTAGTTATAGCAGTGGTTCTCAAAGTGTGGTCCGCGGACCACCAGTCATCTGGGAGCATGCGCCAGGTGGTCCACGGGGTGACCTAATCATCTTTCTTAAAACAAGTCTACAATGTTTAAGTTTAAGTTTAAGTCAGAGGAAAGAATATTGTAGTGTTCGCTACTAAGAACTGCAAGCTGTAAAAAGTGGGAGGAGGGACTTGTGTGTTGATTCTAGGTATTGGAGTTTCACCAGCCATTAAGGGGATGGACTGTGTGTGTCAGTAATGGGGCGAGCACAAGCCTAGTCATAGGCTTGGCTGGCTTGAGGGTTTGCCGAAAGGACAAAGTTTCCATTCGTTCTCCTTGGCTGTACCCTTCTGTTGCCTTTGTGTTTTAATGAAGCCTGAGTTATTGCAGACCACCTCGCCTCTTTATTTTCCCCATCAGCGCCTATTGCTTCAGTGTTTTAGTTTTATGCACCACGAGTGAAATGATGTCACACATTGAAAACGAGTCAGTTTGGCAGTAATGTCCTTGGCGCCGTGTATTGTTGTTAGTGATGCACGGGTCACCAGCCCAACCCAATCTAAAATCTTTTTTTTGAAAACAAGTGAATCCACGCATCACAAGTTATCATGACTGCGTGGTTACACTGTTTACGTTTTGATATGCGAGTGTGGTTCGACCATTGCTCTTATTGTTCGTACCATTTTGTTCTTACTTTTGAATATTGCGGCCGAGGAGCGCCCAGCTGAGGTGCGTGGAGAGGTGCAGGATAGGAGGAGGAGACAAAGGGGGGACTGAGGGCTACTGGCCAGCGCGGGTTGACCATCTGGTGCGGTTGCACATTGAAGTGGGCTGTTGGGCTGCCATGTAAATAGTTATCCCCGGTTTATACCCCTTTATACCTGTAACCACTTAACCACCCTATAGTACCTGTACCCCAAATGTCCCGAGTGTGTTATAGCCCGATGACGCTGTATTTGTGTGCCAGTGTCTTTTCTGCTGTGCTGGGAACAAAGGGCACTTTCCACTCTGAGCCTGAATTTCTCTTATAAGGTGGATGCAGGTGATTACATTACCTGTAAAGCGCTTTGAGTGGAGTGTGAAGAAAAGCACTATATAAGTATAAGCATCTATTAATTATTATTATAATGTCTTACTTTGAGTTTGAAAGTTCTGAGTGTAATTTAAAGAAGCAGAAGGCTTATTATGGAGCACTGGCTCAAATCTGGAACTCTGAAATGCAAATATAGCGACGATAGTGACAGCACAGGTGCAAGTAAGATGCAGAATAGAAGTGAAAATGTGAGTGAGGTAATTTGTGAACCATACCAGCAGTGCTGGAATTCTAATTCCAAGAGCTTGATGAATGTGATGTGCAAGGAAGCAGAAGGTGTGCTTGATGTGATGTCTTCGTCTGCTTCCGGACATGAAGCTAAAGTTGTCCAGCTTGGATCCAGATATCACTTCTCTGATTGCTCAACAAAAGCAGCTCCATTCTTCACATTAACTTTTTAAGTAACAAAAACATTTGCAAGATATGCAGCTTTGTTTGTAAAAATATTACTACTTTTCATAAAATTTAATTCAATATTAGTTATTTTTAGTACATTAATAGGTGATGATTTTTACAGGGGAAGAAGTGGACGTAGGCATACTGTAGGTGGTCCACTGCATCTGTGACTTGGTGTAAGTGGTCCGCGGAACATAGAACTTGGAGAACCACTGGGTTATAGGGACAGATTGCCCCCTGCTGGAGATTGTACGTGTGAAGTTAACATCATAGCACAGGAGCACAACATACTGCCAGTGTGCATTACAGGCATTGTATTAACATACACTTAGTGGAGCTCAGCAGGCAGCGATTTACTCAAAAACTCCACGCCAACATGCATTGTTGTGTAACGCCCTCGCCTGGTGGTGAGGAGGAAGTACCGCTGGGCATGCTGGGAGTGGTAGCCGGGGAGAGTCCGAGGGTCAGCACGATGACCAGCGGCTGACCTTATCTGTGTAAATTATGTCCTAGTAATTCTAGTGCCCTGTGTAGTCCTGTAAAAGTGTAGTGTGTTGTTAGGTAATTACCACCCTAAACATGTGTACGTGTTCCGTCAGTCTCATGTGTGTGTAGCTCCTGTGTTTGGTTTTGGGTGGTTGTAAACGAATAAAGCTAATGCTTGTTTGTTAATCCCGTCTCCACTTGTCCTTGTTCTGAGAAGAACCTGTAAACGCTACAGTTGTTTTATGTTTTCTTGTTCACACTTTATGAAGCTGATGGGAAAAATGCAGCCTCGTCCTTTTTGAATGTTTGTGGTAAAATACTCCTGCGTCCAGTCCAGGGAGACATCTCGGCTTGCGACTTGTGATTTCTGAGTTCGTCATGACTCAATAAGGATAAACTAAATAGCACTAAAAACGGACAGGTGAGAAATTTTAAAAACGTATCAATAATTCGGTTCACTAAAACCAGAATCGTAACAAGGCAGTTTTACCGGGCAGAGAGCTCGGGGAGGTAGCTTGTCCAGTGTGAGCGCCGGGGGCAGCTCCAGGCGGGCTGGGCAGGTTTTTGTACAGGCGCTCTATCAGAATCAATCACTGTGGTGGACTTTCGGTGGCGGGACCAGACTGAGTGTGGGCAGTAAGTACAACGCAGCCTCGCCGTCTTCCTCCCGGGCTCTCCGCGCAGACAAATTCCGCAGGACTGCGCGGCTCTTAGAGAAACACGGGCGCTTTTATGATCATATTTAATGTTGAGATTATTAATGTCCTGTACTTAACACCTTCCACGATCTGGA